CTTTGTAGTTGTAATATACTGAGCTGTCCAGGAAAGAACACCGGAAGCTTCGTGCCTACCTGTGCATGTCCGCACAGTCGCTGCGCTCGGTCTGTACCTGTCCGCGAGGCTGCCCGCGCACGCTCCGCAAATGTCCGCACAGTCGCTGTGCTGGTTCCGCAACTGTCCGCACAGTCGCTGTGCTAGTTCCGCACCTGTCCGCACAGTCACTGCACTCGTTCCGCATCTATCCGCACAACCGCTGTGCTCGTTCCGCACCCGTCCACACAGTCGCTGCAGTCGTTCCGCACCTGTCCACACAGTCACTGTGTTCATTCCGCACCTGTCTACACAGCTGCCGTGCTCGGGGCGTGCCTATCTACATTTTGCCGCGCTCTGTCTGTACCCGTGTGCGAAGTCGGCCGTGTTGTGCCCGCACCTGCCTACATTTCGGCATGCTCTGCCTGTACATGTCTTTGGGGTCAGCCGTGTAAGAATATGGTTCTTGGTGGTTCCTGAACATAATTTTGGAATGTATCTTGGTTCTTGATGAAATTATATCCCCATCTTAAGCCTGAGGTGGATCTTGGTTCTTACTGGATCACTATGCATATTTCAGGCTGGGTCTTGGTTCTTGCTGGATCCCTCAACATAATGCCAGGCTGGATCTTTTGGTTCTTGCTGGGTTCCTGTCTCCAATCCACGTTGGATCTTGGTTCTCGGTGGTTCTTTCGGTTTGGTGTCGGGCTCGATCGTGGTTCTTGCTGGATCTTTCGTCTTCATGTCAAGCTGGATCCTGGCCTTTGTTGGATTTCCTGGCTTATTGTCAAGCTGGACCCTGGTTCTTGCTGGATCTTTCTATTTATTGTCAAGCCGAATCCTGGTTCTTGTTTGGTCTTTCGACTTACTGCCAGACTGGCTTCTGGGTTCCTCCTGGTTCCGGAACCAGGAACTAGGAACCGGTTTCCGGGAAGAAATGTTGGGAACCAGGCACAAGTCTGGTGACTGGTAACTGTTCTCAATCAAGACAAGACTAAAAATGGCATAATTTGACATTTAAGAACTATTATCACCTCATCTTATTCCTTTGATGAGAAATGTCATCAGACTTTGACATTAAAATCACGATTCTTTTCTAAGGGAAGAAGGCTGGTCGCTTCTGACCGCTTCAGTGAGTCAACAGCCTCTTCGGTGTCTTAAAAAGACGGATTGGATAATCACAGGTCAATTTCTACCTCGATGAGATCATCCGCCGACTTACCCTGACCTGTCAATGCCTCTTGTCGCTGAAAGCAGATGCTGATTCGCGGCACCGCCAACGAAATATATAAAGTCAAAAATTAAACCCTAGACAGGTATTCATGCACTGTAACGCGAATGCCACTTGCAAAGTTGCAGTGCATTGAAAGTCACCGGCCACCTCATCTCGGTCGCATCACAACGATTGGAACATGCCCTTGCGACCAGATGGATCTCCATATCTAGATTTTTCAGTATATTACAATGTCTAATTCGGGAGACTGGGGTCGGCGGCTAAAAACAGCCACCTAGCCGACCGGACGGACTATGGAAATACACTGATGTGTCGCCGACCTGTGACCGAGTCCGCCGACCAACTAAAAATCACAGGATATTTTTGTCGCAGGGTTGGAATGAAACCTAGAAAAGATACCATAGTGCCGTAGAGTACGGTAAAGAGTCGTACGGAATCGTTCGCTGGTGTTATGTGACAAAATGCATTACCATGGAGGCATTATAGGCATTAGGAGGCATTAATTATTGGCACCAAGCTTCGCGTGGATATATACATTTCTTGTCACCGACCTTATCCACCAAATTGACAGGTTTTACAACGCCTGCCGCGGTGCTCCGCCTGATGGCTTGCGGCCACGCCGTGTTGCGGTCACTAAACCAGCGACGTCATTCCCATGTATAGAGCATGTGAAAATCAAACTTACGGCGAAGCCCCCGCGCAGCAGTCCCCATGTGCCGATCACCGAACGAAGCCTTGAGGACATCTGGTTCACGGAATGCCTCCGCTTTAAGCCTTGAGACAATGACGCCCAGCCGGCGACCGGTTGGTGGGCAGTACGGATTTTGGACCAGCGCCATCTACAGATCATCGTGTGTCTGAAGCTGCCTGCTAGTCCGCGCGGGCATGGCGTGTTGAAACGAAGACGTGCACCAGTTCAGCTCCGAAATGGAAAGGACTCTTAAACAGGTAACTCGCGGAAGATTGAAAGCGTGATTTGGACTCGGAATGGTTCCATTTATCTTGTGATCCCACGGGAAACATGCTCGCAATTCTTATTCAGAGGTGGTGAGTGTTTTTTTGTTTGTTTTTTTGTTGCTGCCGGTCGCGTTTTTGCAGCTGAATTGTCGGCAGTAGCGTAACGTGATACCATATGACATCAAATGACAACGACGTCCATACCCGGTAGCGTTATCAGGAATCGGCGCATTGCCGAGGGCCCTTTTCATAACTGCAACTTTCGATATCATGCACGCGTCCAAAATGTTCATTTAGACAATGGCATTCAGCCAATTCCAGGATAAGTGGTGCTACAAAGAATCCGGGCACACCTGCCAGAGACAAAAGGATAGTCCCATCACAAAAGCAGCCGTCTTTCACCTTCGGGACTTGACGGGGCCTCACGTTGAAGCTGGATTCACGACTGGATTTGCCGATCTTGACCGCGAAAAAACAGCGAAGGAGTTCGACATCCAAGGCAGCGAAGTACGTGACAAAATTCCAACCGGTGGCAGCCAACACTGGGGGTGGCCTCCAACATGTGGGCCTCTTGGAGACCATCTCCCCTTATGGAAAAGACGTATGCGCTTTGTGAAAAGGTGATTAAGACTTCCAGTCATAATGACCATACTCTCCACCACACCTTGGGCATGTTCCAAACCTGATGAGATGTGTTGCCTCGTGGGCGCCTTTGGTTGCGTCCCAGCGATTGGTATATGCATGTTTAAACTGGGTTTCTGGGCTGCCTGAAACGGAAAAAACGATGGATTTTGTTATTGTGTATATTGCTATTTGTATATGATATTGACCTTGCTGTCAGGCAATGGATATTCTCCACGACTTTTTGGTAGAATGTTAGATTAAATTTTGAAGTTGCTACTGATACTAGTTTTGATAAAGACATGCAGCGAAAGCAGCATTACATCTATCTCCGTACTGCATTGTTCAGTTTAATTAGTTGGCTTTCGTCACTGACGTCTACGAAAATGTCATCGTCTTGTCGTGCGTAAAGTGCGGGACGGTGGGATGCATTTTCAAGGACTTTGTTCTCCACGTGGCATATGTAGGCGTTCGCAAAAAGTAGTCCCAGGGGACTCCATCAAAGTCCTTGAAAATGCATCTCTCTGTCCCGCACTTTACGCACGATATGTCGAGGGCATTTTCATAGACGTCAATAACGAAAGCCAACCGCTCGAACTAAACAACACAGTGGAGCAAGCTTCACTTCTCCGATTAACTTACGAGCTAAGCGTCAATAACCGCATTCCATTTTGATACATAGACATCTCCCTTGACCAATAGCGATTCGTGACGACAGGGCACAACATGCCAACAAATGCTGGACGATGCCTCGGTGCAAAAGCCCCGACCGGTACAAGATCGGTGAAGTGCGCTGCTTCCTCTGAAAAGTCCTTAATCTCTGCTCTGATTGGATGCAACTACACAGTGAAGTGTAGTGCATCAAACAATTCCTAGTAAAGAGTGGGCGCTCTTACAGTGCCAACGATCATGAGACCACCAGCTCTATGTCACGATATCATACAAAAACTGATGCTATCGAACATAAAACAAATCTAATCAAGGTGTTCTATGAGAATCAAATATCTAATAGCTATAAGACAGACTAGCGTATCCTCACAAAATCAACGTCTGAAGACGTCAGGCCGCGCAGTCGGAAGCGTGGCAGATGCAGCGAGCCGATGATGATGGTGTGGGTTTTAGGGCGCGTCGACTTCTAGGGTCATTTTGCGCCCAGTGCAGCGAGCCGACACCGCCCGAAACAATACGAGTTGGCGCTGGGAATACTCGGCGCGCGCTACGAATAGAGCATGCAGTGCACTGGGGGGTTGGGGGACGTGAAGTGCCCTGTACATATTCAGACAGTCCCGGTGGCGTTTAAGATCAGCGACGCTGCACCAGCCGGGCGCGTCCAGAAAGAGTGAAATGTGATCGCTGCGGCGGACACCGCTCACTAGCCTGGCTGTGAAGCGCATCTCCCTTTGCATCCCGTCTAGTTAGCGGACTCCACCCCAGATGGACAGGTAGGAGATGATGTGGGGGAAGTCGTGGATTTCGACAACGAGCTTCAAAACCTCAGGAGTGAAATGGTGTCGGATTTTGAACAGGGATACGAGGATTGTTTCACAGTGCCGAACGGGAGAGGGGGTGTGTAACACCTCACCAATGCACCTGCATTCCCAGGTGAGGTGTTGGTCGTGGATGAATGTTTGTGTCAGATATGATGAGGTGGAAGTTGCCGGCTTTTGTGGTAGAGGGCTTGGTGCCGATCGGCATGAAGTCTGTCTTTTGGGGCTCATTTGAGGGTTATTTGACTGAAACCAGTGGCTGGGTGTCATCGGCGTAGGATAGTAGGCGGCCGTGGGGTGGGAAGCTGGATAGGTCATGGATGAGGACAGGAACGGGATTGGGCCCACAAGGGATCCCTGGCCACCCCGTCGGATAGAAATAAGGTAACGAGCCACTACTGGCCACCAGCTTCTGACCGCTCAGGTAGTTCCGGAACCATTCCGAGAACACCCCACACCATTCCAGCTTGATGAGGACGACGTGATAGACGCTGTCAAAGGCCAGTCCCAGAATGATCGCAAGGACGTCTAGGATAGTTCAGGGACACTTTAAAAGGAAACATAATTTACAAGAATAAAAGACCGCAATATTTTGCGGTCTCGGATATCAGGAGACAGCTATTAAAAAGACAAACCATCATCATAGCATCTATTCTTGCTTGCAGGTGTTGGCCTTGGTGGTAATGGGTCAGCTGCTGCTGGCCTTCGGCTTGAACTTCGGCATGAACAGCGTCACCCTCATCCAGGTGCCGGGCGATCCTGACGGCTTTCTCAGCGCCGACCAGCCCAACTGGTTGATCGCCGCCACCTCGCTGGGTGGCATGCTAGGCGGCCTGATGGGCGCGCCGGTGGCGCCCGTTTTAGGCGTGCGGCGCCTGCTGCTACTCACCATGCCGCTGTACGCGCTCGGCTCGCTGGCGGTCGGCCTCGGCGGCCACTTCGGCTGGACGCTGAGCGGACGGGTGGCCATGTTCGTTGCGCTCAGCATACCCGAGGGCTGCGTGCGTGGCTACGTGTCTGAGATTGTGCCGCCCAAGCGCCGTGCCCTCTTCAGCGCCCTGTCGAACTTCATGATTTGCCTGGGCCAGGTGCTGGTTGTGGCCGTGGCGCCGCTGCTGCACTGGCAGGTGCTGTTCATCGTGGTAGGCGTGGTGCCGGCCGCGCTTTGCCTCTCCGGTCTCCTCTTCCTGCCCAACTCGGCCAAGTGGCTGCTCTCGGGCGGCCACTCGGAGGAGGAAGCCGTGCGCTCCATACAGTTCTTCCGTGGCACGCAGGTGGACGCCGCTGCCGAGGTATGCAGTATCCACGATTCACTGCAGCACGCACATGCGGACGGCGCCGCACTGCCCATGTGGACGCTGCTGCGTCAGCCGGGCACGTGGCGTCCGCTGTCACTGGTCTTCATCCAGATGGTACTGTTGCCTTGGTGCGGCAGCTCCACGCTGATGCTCATCACCGCCTTCGTGCTGGCGTCGGTGCGGCTTCCGCTAAGCGAGTACCAGCGAGCCATGCTGCCAGCCGCGCTCGCCGCGGTCGTCAGCGTGCCCGGCGGCATGATCATCGAAAGATACGGCCGGCTACCGGTGCTGCGTCTGGGCGGCGTGCTCTCTGCCATTGGCTGCGCTGCGGTCGCCGCGTACTTCTTCCTGGCCCCGGAGTCCCACAAGCGTCTCGGCTGGATTGTGCTGGCGGGCGCTGGCCTGACGCAGGTGGCCGTTGTCGGCATGCTCGCCAACGTCGCATTCAACTACGTCACCGAGCTGCTGCCCAACAAAACGCGCGCCTTGGGCGCGAACATCGTCCTCGTTGTGCTGAATTTGAATGTATTTGTGCTGCTAAAATTGTACCCACTAATCAGAGATGGGATTGGTCTGGGTGGAGGCTTCGTCATCCACTCGCTGGTAAGCCTGTGCCAGGTGTTCTTTGCCACATTTTGCCTGAAGGAAACAAAGGGTCTCTCGCTGGAGCAGATTCAGCATCTGTTTTAGAACGTTGAAATGGTAGCCGAGTTGCCGCCACTTCATATCGCTGAGTCACCGCCTGGTTCTAAACCATCGATGCCCTGCGTTGATGCACCGAAATGAAATAATGCTTCCGATTCCAGCAGCACGTGAATGGACACGGGAAATTAGAATCGGTTTGTAATGATGCAAGTTTCATTGCCTCATAGCCACGTTGCGATGGAATGCACCTAAAGTTCCTGAGAGACTTTATTCCATAAGCTCATGTTTATGTTTCTACGATAGCAGAACGTGTATGAAAAGACTGAAAGATCTCATGTTTCTCGGCAACCTGAGGACGTTACGTATGCGCTCTTGTCGATCATTCATGACGACATAAATTTCGTCACATTTTGTGAACTTGTCGTGCATTACAGCCATAAGCAGGAGTTCGCTTTCTAATTTGTTTCCAAACATGATGTGAAATAATTTGATAAATAAACGTGCACGTCCCGGGCAATGGGACGTCCCGGGACGAATTCCACGTCCCGGCAATTAAAACTATGGTGTCCGTTCTCGCGGCTGCGTAGCCAGCCGCCAACCGCTGAACAGTCTACAACACTTTAAGGCGTCATTACGCATCCTGTTTACACGCAGCTCAATGCCATGCATTTCTGGTGACAGCTAACAAAAAGAAAATGCACGAACTTGTACATAACAATTGACGATCGTTGCAATTGATGAATTGATGAATTGCGAAACGCAAAATTCCGGGGAAACCATGCACAATGCTTCCGGTTATATGCTATTGCTTTAGACGTGAATGCCTCGTTGCAATACAACCCGACAAGTGTGTGCCTTTCTTTCCTTATCCTCAAGCGTCGTCGTCTGTCAAGGAAGATCCGTTCGCATATTGCCTGCGCAATGCGATTTATTTCCAGAAAGCCAATCCACCTGTGGATGGCAGATAACTGAACAGACTGGTTGCAATAACGAGACAGACCGTGAAAAGGCTCCGTGAGGCTCCGTGAAAAAGTCGTTCTCAAAAAAGCGATTTGTTTGAAATGTTTCGAATTATTTCCATATGTTCTAGAATGTGCACACGCAAATACGCTTATGCTCTACGCCATATGGCAAATTATGTGTCTACGTGATATGGCATCTGTTATGTCTACGTGATATGACATATGTTTTGTCTACGTGATATGGCACATGTTATATGGTCTGAAACAGTCCGCCTTTTCTGCAGAACTCAGTGTCTCTAATTGTCATATGACCTAAAGCTGACCAAATTTTATCACCACGCATATTGCCAGCGTATTTTAAACGTCACGCAGCACATGTCCTAGACCGCTATCGGAGGACAGCTAAGGCTGCACGTAACATGGAATAATGAGCAGTGCACGACCTTGTAGTCAACAGACGTTAAAATCTGATGTAAGCAGCGTACGGAGTATTGGCGAACGGACAATGTGCCTTTGAATAATTTTTAGAAGTTAGGAACAATCAGAATACCAACTGAGCCTTTACGATGCGGTATGCAGGAGACGGAAACGCGTCCTATATTTGGATATACTAGTGACGGTTGAAAGGAGGAACAACCACACAACGTAAGGAACTGAGCTCTTTATCAAGCCTGTCAACTCTGGTGTAGTTCTGCATTGCAAATCTACGCACTCAACTTCCACTAAGCACAATAGGATTCGTAACCTTTTCCATAGCGCATTACATGAACAACTCAAGTAGTCAAAAAGTAAAATAGAGTATAAACAAATTATGGACTTTGCTGCTGGGCAATGGACATTCTCCATTTCTCCTAGGTAAAATGTTGGATGATGATGATGATGATGATTTGGGGTTTTGAAGGGTTGACTTCTGTAGGTCATGCAGCGCCCATAATTATCAATTTATGCAGAGCCACCAATCAGGCGAATGCATCAATCAAGTCGCCCTTTCAAGCCTTGATGATCAAGCCTAGTATCATGATGAAAAGACAACTGGGATATCTATGGCGCGAAGAAACTGGAGCACTTTACCAAACACCACAGCGTGCGAAGAATCCGCTAAAAAGTGACATAGCGTGCGACTCTGGACGTGGTGTCCGAAAAACTGCACTCTCGTTGCAGTAAGGTGACGGCAATCAACCAGTACGTGATGCAGTCCCCAAGGAACAGTCTTCATGGGTTTAGGCCTGATGACACGTCGTAGGTTGAGGCCGCTCGCGTCTAAAAGTTCTCTCATCCGTACACAAAAAGGAGAAGTTTGTAGAGACCCTTGGCGTAGAAAAAAAACTTCGTAAGCTACGCGAAAACGCTGCTTTTGTAGGTGGGATGATCTGGGAACTATGCCAGCTTGCACGTGCAGCGCAGTCTCAGCATCAGCCTTCGCAAGGCTAGTGGGCGCTCGTGAGCCTCCACGAAAAGACTATCTATGGGCGATGTTCGAAAAGCCCCTGTGGCGATACGTAGTGAGGTGTGATGCACCGTGTTCAAAGTACGTTTGATCACGTCTGAAGAGGTCAAAGTAGACGATGTGCTCTAAGGCTGCGCCTTTAAGTTCCGTCATGAGAACGCGTTGCTTTTGCATGTTTGATAGCGAAACATCCACTCTTGGCGATGCTAGCTCCCAAGGAGCAGTCATCATGGGTTTAGGCCTGATAGCACGTCGTAGGTTGAAGACGCTTGCATCTAAAAGTTCCATCATTCGTACACAAAAGGGAGAAGTTTGTGGAGACCGTTGACGTAGAAAAAGCCTTCGTGAGCCACGCGAAAAAACTACTTTGTAGGTGGAATGATCTGGGAACTGCGCCAGCTTGCACGTGTAGCGCAGTCCCAGCATCTGCCTTCGCAATGCTAGCGGGGGCTCGTGAGCCTCCACCAGAAGACTATCTATGGGCGATGTTTGAAACACCCCTACGGTAGTGCGGCGTGATGCACCGTGTTCGAAGTACTTTTGATCAGGTCTGAAAAACCATCATAGATAAAACAGCCGTAGTCAAGATTTGAGCGAATAAGCAAACGATATAGGAGTAAGAGTGTCCTTCTGTCAGTACCGTATGATGTACGTCCTACGCACCTTAGGATGTCAAGAGATTTTAAACATTTGTCGCGGAGATTTCTGATATGCTCACGGTATGTTTGGCGTCGGTCAAATAGTATACCGAGAAATTTCACGGTACTGTCATAATCGACGCGTTGCCCATACAGCGTGATTTCCATTTCAGGACAGTGACAGCGACGACGACAGAAATGGACTGCAGTTGCCTTCGATGTGGAAAACTGGAAACCATTGAGCACGCTCCACTACTCCAGACGTGTGACAGCCAGCTGCAGCTGTCGCACCATCGTGAGAGTGGTCGATGAGCTACACCAAATAGCGAAGTCTTCTACGAACAGAGAACAGCTGATCCCATGTGGAAGCGTGTCCACTATGTCGTTAATCATCACGGCGAGAATAATGACGCTTAATACGATGCCCTGAGACACACCATTATCGTGCGGATACCTGTCGGAGGGACATGAACCAACACGCACCCGAAAGAATCTGTCAGGTCAAAAATTTCGGTAAAAACTTTCCCATGTGACTGCGAAGGCCACAATCGGGCAACTTCATCAGAATTCCATGTCTCCATGTGGCATCACAATCTTTTTTAAGTCAAAAAAGATGGCGCCGGTATGACGTTTGCTAATAAAGCCGGCTCGCAGTGCGGAATCAAGATTTAAGATGTAGTCGATCGTGCCCCTGTTCTTACGGAATTCGCACTGAGCATTCGTGAACGAGTTTTGACGTTCTCATGTCCGCGAGAGCCGCACATTCACCGTTCTTTCCATGAGCTTACAAAGCGGAGACGTGAGGGCGATCGGGTGATAATCAAGGGCGTTCATTCCACTTTTCCGGAGGTTTAAAATAGGCGCCACTATGGCCTCTCGCCAGGCTGGCGGGACCTTACCTGACCCCCATGTACAGTTGAAAATTGCCAGCAGTGCTCGTAGTATACGGGGAGGAAAATGCCGTACCATATCACTGTGGATGATGTCGGACCCCTCCGCTACACTACGCAGCGAGCGAATGGCCGCTTCAAGTTCCACCACAGTGAGACGCTTGTTGTACATCAGGATGTCCCCTGTATAAAAATTAACTTGCGAAGTTTCACATCGCGCCCGATGCTGCAAAAACCGTAGATCGCAGGTGTCATTTCGGCAACGGTCTGACAAGGCTTCCCCAATGGCTTCCGCGACATCACTTGGGTGAGTGATGTCTTGACTTCCCACTCGCAGCACGGGAAAGGAAACTGGTAGATGCAGTCTGGCGATTCTTTTAATGCGGCCCCATACATGTGACATCGGCGTGTGCCGATTCATTGAGTTGACGTAGGTGCGCCATGATGCACGTTTCGCCTTTTGTATAGTGCGGCGCGCGGCCGTGCGTACTTGCCTAAAAGCCATGGGGTTTAATGTGCTGCTGTGCCGGTTAAAAGCCCTAAAAGCTCTCCGACGTGCACGAATAGCGTCGCGACACTCGTCGCTCCACCAAAGTACAGGGGTGTGACGAGGGCATCCAGAGGTGCGCGGAATGCATCCTTTCGCCGCACCCAAAACGAGAGACGTAAATTCCTCCGTAGTCGGATTTGCAGAGTCGAAATCGCTAGAAAAGGTTTCCTCCAGGCGGGTTTCAAATCCACTCCAATCCGCATTTTTGAAATTCCAACGTTGAGGTCGAGTACCAAGAACAGCACCACCACGGTACCGAACCCAGACCGGAAAATGGCCACTTCCAAGGGGGTACTCTGAAGCATCCCAGGTGAAGTTTGGTACCAATTGCGGACTACAAAGGCACTGACGATCGTCCTGATGGCAATGTTAAATGCCCTGTATTTAAAACACACAAACCTTCGTCACGCATGAAAGCCTCACATAGCCTACCGCGAGTGTTCGCGGAAGCACACACCACACAGTGTGATGTGCATTAAAATCGTCTAAAACGAGTAGAGGGGGAGCAAGCTGAGAGACTAACTCTCGTAGTCGTCCAGATGGAATTAAACCCCAGGT